TGGACGCAAAGAGGGCGCGAAGGGCCAGCCGCTGAGCAGGCATACGAAGCAGATGCCCGAGCATCATCATCATCATCATCATCTGGAGGTGGAAAACACCTCAGCTATTGTGCCGCAATACAAAAGATAAGAAAAGGAAAACAAACGGTGGCACGCCCGCTGAGTCCCCAGTAACGGATGGACATCATTCCGGAGAGCTAACAGCTGGCTGCCGTAAAAGAGTCATATTATACCTATTAAGTGAGATCATGATTGGAGGGGGGATGCTAAGCAGGAGGGGGATGGACAAAGGAACTCACAACACAAACGCCATTGGGGTCGGCTCCAAGCCATATCAGCGAGTGTGTCCAACCAAACGTGTTCACCATCCTTAGGACCCCAGCCAGGCAATCTGGATGCGCCCGAGCATGCCCGATTCTCCGAAGACAGTGGTGATCAAATACAGCCAGTCTGAATATCGCTCACGGAAATGGGTCAGGTCTCTCAGTCGTAAAGATGCACTGTTCGTACAACGAGACCTAGGTCACGCCAAGGCCAGAAATATGCTAGGTCTGCAATGCTACTCTGACTTGAGAGATTCGCAGGGATCATATCTGCTAATCCATCAATGCGAATGCAGATCCCAAGGTAAATGAAACTGTCGACTATTTACAAAAGAGATCCAAAGGGGCTTATGATTGGCTTCTAGCCAGTCCCGAAGAAATATCTTGCACTTCGAGGGAACACACCTCGTCCTGAGCTACGGTAAAGGCACCACCAACATGCAGAGCATGTCCTGGGCAACCCGCGATAGGGTTCAATCCAAAAGAACTTATGCTGTCCGAAATCCCTAGAGTTACAAATCGAGAAACCAGTGGTCTTCAGTGATGAAAAAAGCAATAGAACCATCTTCGATCGGTTTATCCGAGGGGAACTCGTGGTGAGATAACTGGGTGTTAGTGTTATAACTTGGTGTCAAAAGCGCTTGTGTTTACGATTCAAGTCAAAATACGCTTTATGAATCCTAGTGGTTTCATTTTCAGCAGTTATACTACCTATCTAAATAGACCATGATCCGCTCCGGGAGCCCGTTCGTATAGCAATTTCCTCCTCGTTTTTGAGTGGTATCGCTTGTATATGTTTGATTCTAGTGGGACATTAATGTATCTGCAATACTGTTTAAAAGTCTCCGGCTCTGCGAAAGATTGAAGCAATTTTCGTGTGTTCTGAGTTAGCACGTTTGTTGCATTCTTAAAGCTGTAGGGGACGTGTCTACTTTGTGTAGTAAGATGGGTTACGGCATAGTAAATGTTAGTATAGAACTGTGCTACTCTTAGATAAACATAAGTGGATAGGAAAAATGTATCCCAGTCGGAAGTTCGGACGAAATGTTGGAGGTGTGTTTAATTAATTCTCTGGACGGAATACTGTGGGAGCGGGTTCAGAATGACATCTGATCTGATACTGAAAATAAACTGTAATATTTTGTGGTCATTACTTGGGAGACGGTCTAGCAGGTCGATGTTTGCGTTGACGATACAGTACAATCTGAAAACAAAAGCAATGTTCCATACCACCGAATGTACTAAGTTAAAACCATTATTGGCTAGAGCAGAGGTCAGACACATTCGGTTTATCAACTATGTACTTTGGCCTGAACAGCGTTCAGATTCATTTGATCGTAGTTGACCGATCACTCGATCTGCCCCTACGTTGCCTCTCGGCAAAAAGACGTATTGGGCCTAGCTGAAACTTGGTTAAATACAGAGATAAGCGCCCAAGAAGTCGAAATCAGTGGGTATTCATGCTTCCGCTGTGATAAGCCATCGAATGATCGCGGTGGCGTGCTGCTTTACATACGGTCTTCCTTGTGTGAAAGATGGATGTGGTGATGACCTGCGATGATGATATTTGGCAAACCTAAGACGCGGCGAGCTCCCCGTGGGTGTTGTGCATCGCAGTCCACTGAACCGCAGCTTGGACTGGTTGCCTCATGTGCGCAAGCATATGAATCGTCCGGAATTCCTGCTCATGGGCGATTTCGACCTTCCGCGAATACGACGGCCCGAGGTCGAGCTTCTCCCACGGCCAATGCGAAGTCGAGACGAAGTCTGAGGAGATGAGGTTTGAAACTGGGGCCATACAGCACATCAATCAGTCGACGCGCATTACCACGCGCTTAACTCCATCATGCCTGAACCTGTTGCTGACCAGCTGCGATCAACGTGTGCGTGATGTTTAGGTCCTAGTGTCCCTGGCAGCTAGCGACCACTCGATGGTCACGGCGAGCTTAAGACCTGCCACTGCCGTTTGCTCCTCCGCTGGAGCTGGCATTTAACTACTGGAAGGGGGACTTTAATGGCCTCACTCGAGTCGCGAGACTGATGTACTGGTTGCTACCACAGAAATCATCAATTGAAGCCTGTTGGTCAATCATAAAAGAGGAGTAAAATTATTATGCGCCCGATTTTTGCCCCTCAAATGTCGGAAAGCTGGACCAATCAAGCGAAACTGGTTTGGCAGGGAGAATGGCATACGGGCCCGACAGCGACGCCGGCTATGGAATAAATTCGTACAAGCTGGCTCTGTCGAAGATTACGAGGCGTACAAGAGGCGACGAAATGCCTGCAACAGCGCGAAAATGGGCAAACTCCGAAGCTTTGAAGAACAGCTTGCAACCGCAGGAAAACAGCTCCCAAGAGGATCTTTGTATACATGAAGCGACGCCTGAATCCGACAGGTGATTTGCCTGTGTTGGAGAGCTCGGATGGGAAGCCCTTAGTTTCCAGCACTGAGCGTGCTTCTGCACTTGCGGCGCACTTCGCTTCCGTTTTTGCAGAAAACCAGGCGTCTGTACGGAGTTCGACGCATATCGCCCCTACCGAGCTGAAGCTTGGATTGCAGCAAATTGCTCGCCAGTCTTGACGGTACCAAGCCTGATGGGCTCCATCCACTGATCCTCAAATCGCTATCGGCCATCATCTCGCGTTCACTGACTGTGCTATTCATCAGATCGCTGTCCGCCGGTTTACTGCCGAACGACAGAGGTAAAACCGATTCCGAAAGGAGGCGATCCGAGCAAAGTGGACAACTAGCGGCCGATATGCCTGACATCTGTTTCAGCTTAAACACTCGGGGTCGTGAAGCGTGGTCCTCTGCGGCATCTCTAGTCGAAAAGCATTTGACGCCCGAGCAGCACGTTTCATAAAAGGCCGCTAATGCATCACAAACCTGCTGCTCTCGATGCACGAATGGATACAAGCGCCGAACCTAGGGGAAATCGGTTGGCGTCATTTACATCAACTTCAGTAAAGCGTTTGACAAGGTGAATCATGATATCCTTCTTCAGAAGCTGAAGATGCGTGGTGTTGGTGGCTCACTGCACTAGTGGGTCAGTGACTTCCTTACTGACCGGATGTGGAGGGTGAAGGTGGGCAATCACTTGACCGAGTGGTGTCCCTCGACAAGTGGCGTCCCGCAGGGCACAGCCCTAGGGCCATTTTGTTCCTGATCCACCTCAAAAATTTGGCTCAGCTTATCAGTTTGCCTTGCGCGTTGTTTGCAGACGACCTTTAGATATGGTAGGCAATTGAAGCGCCCGACGACTACGACCTGCTTCAGCGTGACCTTGACCGCCTCTCTATGTTGTCAGCAAAAGTCAACCTTTCGATCAAACCGGTCAAGTCGGTATTCATGGGCCTGGGCAAGGGTGGTAATGACCGGACTTACAAACTGGCCGGCCAACAGTTACACCCATCGCCATCCGTGAAAGATCTCGGAGTATTCTCACGCTGGAATTTGAAATTCGTTGAAAACACGAACAGGCTTTACCAAAACGGACTGCGCATGCGCTGGGCGCTCAAACGCAACTTCTGGACTTGGTACGAAGAGGTTGCCGCTCGCCTCTTTTCTTCTATCATCAGACCAATGCCAGAGTACAGTCCACCCATCTTCTACCCGCTCACCGGGGGCGAGATGCAAAGGATTGAACAGGTATAGCGTGTAGCCACAAGCCTTACCCCCGGTTTACCAGGTGTACCATATGAACACCGGTGCAAGGGACTAGAGTTGTGCACCTTACCATATCATCGAATGCGGGTTGACCTCATCATCACGCACCGGATATTACATCTGGGTGATTACCCCATGTTGAGGCCGTCGCTTCATCTGCGCATACCAAGCAGCACAGGAGGACACCGGTACAAGCTTGTTGTACCGGATTTGAAGCGGGTCTCTCATCAACTTTGCTTTGAGCGAAGGGTGGTGAATACTTGGAACAACTTGCCTGCAGACAGTCGAAGCAAAGTCGGTGTCGGAGTTTAAGAAACTCCTGGACTCGCATTTTGCCGACTTGAGATTTCGAGGATAATCACCACCATACCAGGTAGACTTGCTTAAAAGATATTAGATGTAGCTACACAGAGTCATCTCTACTCGCTGCATTTTCTCAGTATTCTGGGCCAGGGTTAAGATTATTGCTGCCCTAATAATGGAGATTGTAAAACGAGGCGTTCTTCGCTGCTACCGAGGGACATCGTGCTGAGAAATACGGTGGTAGCAAAGAGTGTGCTAAACGCAGGTCAAGAAATCGTACTAGACAACGTTGAAATCACTAAGAAGGGATTACGAGCCGCATTCCAGCATTCGAGGTGAAAATCTCAAAAGTCAACGGTTGCGTGAACAGAAGGGTCGGTTTGGAGTTGTCGAATGCGTGATGCAATGCTCTAGACCACATGCAAGCAGGTGGAAAGTGTAGATCGACATCCCCTCTACTACCACTGAGTCCTTTATTTTCCATACGATGTACAGTTGATCCCTTTACAACGACTATACCACCTGAGAGTGAATCCTCATTTATTACGCCGACTATCTTGCAAGAACCTACTCCTAGACAACGCACGCCATTTTCCTGTAAAAGGCACACCAGTAGATTGTATGGGGAGTTTTGTTGATAGATGATTGCACTAGCTACCTGTAGTCTGCTTGTTCCGTCAATGGTAAAGGGTGAAGTAGGTTTTGTTTTAGACTTCAACATTGCGTGCACAACAAAGGAATCGATGTAGCTGCCGAACACGCCAACTTACACCTGCATCCAGACTAGGCAGTGTGGTCCAAACGTCAACTGATTCTGGCGGAAGGCCGACTTCTTCATGAGCTTCGCGCAGTGCTGTGCGGACTACATCCCCTTCGTCACTTGGATCACAAATTCCCCCAGGAAAACTGAAAGAACAAAGGGGAAAAACAAAACTACTGGGCTGTCTGTTCTATGGGCAATGAGTGTGATAACGGTAATTGTAGCTAACTTTCAATATAACAAACAGGATATGGGTGAGTTGAATGAAACAACAATGTGGGATAGTTACGAAGATTCAAAAAACGAAGACTAAGAAACCGAATATGAAGCCGATCCACTTGAGGTCAACAAGCGCGTGATAATGACTATCTGTGCGAAGTAAAAGCGTATTATCACTCAGGGAAAATAAAGATCGGCCAGAAAGGACAAATATCTTAAAGTAAAAAGAACTCTCTTCAAAATTACTAAGTATTCTTTATGAAGTTATGCTTATCTACCAGATTTTGTACTTCGTGTACCGCAGTTTACTGCAATAATCCTGCCTCACAGTAAGGCGTGTCCAAGATAAGTCCGTTCCAAAGAAGCCTGGTACAGTTGAGATACAGTTATTTAGGTTATTTTCCTCTTTGGACACTGACCGAACCGTGATTCATTCAAAATAATTGGTTAGGGTGGTCAGAGAGCAGAGTGGGATGCCCTGAATACCTCCACGGGGCGACCGCTGCGTGGGCGTTGGGTTACGCTATTCTCCCTGCAAAGATCCAGGACACCAATCCGCATGAATCAGTGAACTGAGCATGTGCTAGACCCGCTGCCTTTCGGGTGTTCATTTAGTCGTAGGCTTTGGCTAAGGACCCGAGTCGTTCACCTGTCAAGAGTGGGCTCCCTGCCAGTATCCTAGTCCATCCTCTTCGGAAGTTAGGAAGTGGTCGATGGCCCTCTTCCCGTAAAACCTAGCCATGGGAGTCAACAGGTCTACGGGTTATAAGCTCATAGCTCGACTGGCGTAGAGCACGAGCGCCACACATTGTCTCTGACGGTGGGAGGGCACCTCCGGGTGTTCAATGGTTTACTACTGCCCGCCTCAAACCAGGCAGCCCCTGGTCAAATTGGTGAAAAACACCAAAACACACCTGCGTCTGGCCGTGGTCGCAGGTGCGTATCCTACTACGGTCGAAAAACACATATGACTCATACCAGGACCTCAAGCGTTGCACGTGACGGCCGTCAAGCAGATCCCAATCTGCCTCTGTGATCACATTCCCGAGCTGGATCTGCTCCTCACTGCCTTGTGGGTCAGGCTATTGAGCCAAATGCTCCGGTTGGAGTCCCCCAAGCAAACCTCCGAAGCACAACCGCCACCTCGAGTGCGATTGCCCACTAATGCAATCGTATGCCTGCGCGCAAAGCACTCAGCATCGGGTGCTGGAACGTGTGCACACTACTGGACCGGAACTCCAGTGAACGCACCTAGCGATGCACTGCACTGGTCGCGATGGAACTGGCGCGCTATCACATCGATATTGCGGCGCTCAGTGAAACTCGGCTCGCTGAGCAAGGTAAGTTGCATGAAGCCGGTGCTGGCTACACATTCTACTGGGTGGGCAACGCCGCTGCAGCACCACGTGAACATGGGGGTCGGATTTGCAATATCCGATCGCCCAAATGACCAGCTAGTGGGTGGACCAACAGGCATCAGCGCGCGACTGATGACTGTTCGCCTGCGACTCGGAAGAGGTAAGTTTGCCACTTTTATAAGCACTTACGGTCCGACCATGTGTTATCCTGTTGACACGCGTGATCAATTCTACAATCTGTTACCCACCGTGATACGGTCTGTGCCGAGGAGCGACCGATTATTTATACTGTGTGATTTCAACGCGCGCGTTGGGCGTCATGAATCGGTGTGGACAGATGTTATCAGTCCGCACAGCATTGGTACAGGGAATACAAACGGTGACAAGCTGCCCTCATTGTGTACCACTCGGCCTGACGATCACAAACGCTCGGTTTGCACTCAGCGCGAGTGATATAGCAACTTAGACGTACCCACGGAGTGGTCACGCTCACCTGCTCGACTATGTCATCGTACGTCAGCGTGATATGCGTGAAGTGCGCATGACACGTGCACTGCGTGAAGCTGCGTGTGGCACTGAACACAAATTACTGCGGACCGAACTGTACATATATTTTCTTAAATCTATATATTGCACACCTGCCGTGAATCGGCCTAAATGTAATATTCTCTCCCTCGGTACTGTGGCGAAACGTGCTGAGCTGTACGTATGTATGTAATCTCAACAGTCTAGTAACTAGACAAAGAGCCAACAAAGCCATGGAAATCAGTGGATAAGAGACAGTCATTGCGTCACAATCGTCGTGGCATAGTAATTGAAGGTGTGCAACACACTTCAGCTAATATGCCGCAAGAAAATAGAATATTTTGACAAAAAATACAGAACAAAACATTTTTAGTTTGTTTGTCACACGCCGATTTTTCTCTTTTTTTGTCATTTTCAATATTCGAAGTATTAAACATGTGAATCAGTACAATACTGTACACAATTCTTCCACCGATTCCGGTTGCGGGCCATGTCTTCAAGAGTCCTAAGCCATTGGCACTCCTCATCTTTGGGTCCCCATCCTGGAAGACGTACGGGTCCAACAGCGGCTAGACGCGACGTCAGCGATTTCATGTGCTGCCGCCAAGTGGAAGGCTGACCACCACGCGGTCGCTTCCAGCCAGGTCCTTGACAAGCGAATAGAGCGCGACGCGGTACACGCTCAGGTGCCATGCGTAGGACATGACCGAGCCATCTTAACTGCCGCAACAAAATCAGTTTGTTGAAGGAAATACTTGCATTCCCCAAGACGCGACGTCGAACGTCATTACTGGTAACTCGATGTTGCCACCGAACACGAGCGATCCTCTTTAAGCAACCGTTCTCGAACGCAGAAAGACGACGCGTCTTCCACGCGAATCGGCCAGGACTCGCTCCCATACAACAATACTGAGCGAACTGACGCGCGGTAAACTCGGCCCTTTAGTGAGAATGAGACGTCGCGACGACGCCACAAGTGCCTCAGATTGACAAATGCTGATCGAGCTTTAGCGATACGAAGCGAAACTTCCTTGTTGATAGTGCCGTCAGCGGAAACGCAGCTCCCAAGGTAGACGAAACTATCTACCTGTTCAAGTTGTGCACCTTCGAGAGTGAGCACGGGTGCAGGTGAAAGCCAATCCTTGAGCAGTACATTACACTTCGATGGGGCGAAGCTCATGCCATACTTAGATGCTTCAACTGCCAAACGATCCAGAATGAGTTGCATACCCTGAGGATCGTCACCAAGTAAGGCGATATCATCAGCATAATCTAAGTCGGTCGCGCGCTCACCCGGTAGAAGCTCTAGGCCAAAATGTTGGAAACTTTCTAGGGCATTCGACAGAACGTCTTCGATTGCGAAGTTGAAGAGGAATGGGGACATAGGGCAGCCCTGTCGCACACCGCTATTGACAGCGAATTGCGAGGAAAGCTTGTCATAGACCCTCACTCTGCCGCATGTATGAAGGTAAAGTGCTCGTAAGATGGCTGTATATTTCTCTGGCACCCCGTTCTTTAGTAAGCAACGCCATAAAGCAGGTCGATCAACGGAGTCAAAAGCGGCACGTATGTCTAGGAATGCAACGATAGTGGGTCTGCGATAAATGTGGCGATGTTCGAGTAGCTGGCGGAGCGTGAAGATTTGATCCACGCATCCGCGGCCAGGACAGAAACCAGCTTGTTCTTCACGGTAGTATGATTCACGTACTGGGGATAGTCTACGAAGTAGAATGGATGCCAACAGCTTAGAGGCAACCGAAATAAGACTAATCCCGCGATGATTTGCACATGAAGTGCGAGCGCCTTTCTTGAAAATTGGGACAATAACTGATTCGCCCCAAGAGGAAGGCACTTTCTCTTCATGCCAAATTTTTGCGAACAGCGCGGTTAGCTGGTTAATGACTGCCAAACCGCCATAATTGAATAACTACGGAGGAAGTCCGTCTAAGCCGGCAGCCTTGAAGCGCTTCAAGCGTCGAATCTCGAGGCAGACTTCTGCTTCGCTGGGTGGATTCAATGGGACGAGCCAGGGTGGACAGCAAGGTGTACTGCATGTACTGATGGATGGTGGAGGCCAATTGAACTGCGAATGAAAGTGCTCGGCCCAGCGGTCCATACGCCTCTGTTGGTTGGTGATCGGAGACTCATCCACCTCACAAATGACCTCACTGACACCAGGCTTCCTGAGGCCAGTGGACCGAATGAGTTGGAAAAGCCTGCGAGTGTTACCAGAGAGGGCAGCAGTCTCCATCTCTAAAGCACGCTCAGACCACCATGTCTCGCGATCCTTGCGTAGGCTTTGCTTAAGCAGCCGGTTGGTAGAACGGCGCCGCTCGTTGCAATCTGATTCCGCGGAGATATCTTTGCGGCGTTCGAAGAGCTCCAGAGAACGAGCAGAGATCCAAGACTTCAAAGGGTGTCGAGTTAGACCGCAGCATGACTGTCCGGAAATGGTCAGCGCTTTCCGTATACAAGTCTAGTGTTGTTCCACTTCTCGCGGTGGATTGCAACTAAGTGCATATGCCAGTGAAGACTGATAGCTCTCCTGGACAGAGGAATCAGTTAATCTGTTTACATCAGTCTTGCGGTGCTTCGTGTTTCGGGATCCTCCAAAACACATACAGATTTTCGCGCAGACCAGAGCATGATCTGAATCAACGAAAGTAGACCAAGAGGACCTGCAGTTCAGTACGCTGCCGTGCCATCTGAAGCTAATCGCAATGTGATCAATTTGAGACCAAGGTTGTGTCGGCGAAGGGGGACGCCACGTTGCGGAACGCTTCTTCGTACGCCTGAAGCTAGTGCTCGAAAAAAACAGACGGTTGTCTTCGCACAATGTGAGAAGTCTCTCTCCGTTATCAGAGCGGTTCTCATCGAGCGCGTGATGACCACCAATGTGGCGTTGGTATGGTAACAGGCGGCCAACCCGTGCATTTAAATCCCCAGCAAGGATAACGATATCCAACTTTTTAGCATTAGTCAAGAGCTGTTGTATATCTCGGTAGAAATCATCTTTCACCGAGTCGCCACTGTAGTCAGTTGGA